ATTGATTTTAAGTCAACCTGCTATTGAGTGTCTCAATCATTCAACCGCAATTAAACTGACAACATATGGGTTGTTGACATAATAAGTCAAAAATAGACATGACGATCTTGACACTGGTTATTATGAGAATACACATATATTTCACATAACGGTAAGTATAACGGACAAGTACATTATAGACTTGAAAATGGTTCGACTAGCCGAAACGTCGTAGTAAGATTTTTTAGTGAAAACATCGATGTAAGTTTGATTAAAATCAATAAATTAGAAGCTAAATATTATGCGTCGAAATAGAAGAGAGGAATATTGAGACAATTTTTAACTTTCCATAAAGACACAAGAATTTATATCACACCTCCGCATACTTTGCTAACGAAAAATACAGATAAAAAAAAAACAATATCAGGGTTTGCGATCAAAATATCTTTAATGTTAGCCGACGCACAGTGTCGACTAGCATTTTTAAGGACGTAATTGTTACTCAATAAATTAAAATTAATTTTAAAGAAAAGTAGTGACGAACTGTACTCACAGCTGTTGAAAATTGATTAAAGGTTTTAGTTCAAACCTAGGTTAGATTAAAAAAGTACTTCAGTTCAAACTTCGTCAGATAACCGTTAGAGATGACGCCACAATACATCTCCACTCTCTCCCCTCCCTTGCTACCATATTCTCACTTCTCCGTTAACACTTTTGGAGACAGGTTTGTTTTCTTTTTTCTCTTTCTTATTTCAGCCTTCTCAGTTTCTTTCCTCCTCCCTTTCATTCCTTTTCTCTCTTTTAACTCTTTATTATATTATACGTTGTCTGTACATCTTGATGGACTTTACAATATCTCAATTTTCTATCTAACTATTCTATTCGCAAATATCTTAATTTTAATATTTATTTTCATTTCTTATATAACTTCATATTCCTTTTTTCTGTTTTACATTTTATTCTAATATTCCCATTTTAATACTTATGTCATCTGTTTTTATTATGTTTACTTCATCATTCCACACTTTGTAACGGATCATTATTATTTATCTCTTAGTTCTTACTATTGTCATTATTCTAACAACCTCATTTTGCTGTAATTTTTTTTTTTTTTACCTACACTACTTATGTTTCTCATACCTTGTTATCTGGTTCGTTTCTTAGCCCTGATGTAGACCTGATCTTCAGATCGAAACGTCGGCAAATGTCAAAATAAATATTATCATTTATTTTTGCCTTCTTATTTGACTGATCACCCCAACTATTCTTCTCTTCATTATTCACGACAGTCAACCATTTACCAAAAATTAATCAACTGAAGTATATGAACATCAGAACGATGAAGTCTCGAATCATCGTCGAGACAATGTTGTATATGTATTGACAGGACTGGCTATTTTATCAATTACAATAGTGTATTTTACTTCATTTACAGCAGACGTACTTAGCCCTTAATGATGAAGGGAGGATGCTTGAAAGGATCAAGCTAAGCCCAGGGCTAATTAATCATTCCAAAACAAGTTCTCTGGAGTGGAATTGAAAGGATACAAGACGCGTCCAAGTCCGCAAGTGAATGGGACCCGCTGACGAATGCGAATAGATTCCGAAGAGGGCAGAGAAATATGAGGCGTTTAACAGCCTTCCAAAAGTTCTAATGTATGTCAGGAGATGGCTGAATCGACAGCGCATCAATAAAAAATATCCGCCATTTCTCCTCTATATTACCTCCTGAGGTGAAGGTGGAAAAAATATGTTTTTTCCAATGATATTAGAGAATATACTACTAGTAGTATATATATATATATATATATATATATATATATATATATATATACTCTTATATTACTAGAGAAGTGTAAATAACCCAACTAAAATACGAACGAAAAATGTATGTATCATAAAATATCCTGACTGTTTCCCACAAAATAAAATACAGAAACTATACTTTTTTCCAAGGTTAAGGCAAAAAATACTTCCATTTTTCTTCAGTCCTTTTAATTACATCTGTTATATCTTACGTGTCGGGGTAATTTTTCCATCATCAGAGTATTCCTTTGTTTACTGAAATTGTGCACATTTGAAATGAACTATTTTTACTTTATTGATCTACTCCATCTATTGTATAATTATCTAACTTGCTTTTGTGATGTGTGCACCAGTTGTCAAAAATTTAATAATTGTCATATCCATTTAATATTTTTTTGGTGTGGCACATTCATTTCTTGTTCATTATTACACCAACCAACATCTCTAGTTCCATTACTGTACTTTGGATATGTTTTCTTATTCCTTATTATGGCTGTTTGCTGTGTTTTTATTGTCTATTGTTATTTTTTTAATTTTAATATTGGATATTATGTCCGAATAGTGTGTGCCGAAGTGTTTCGTAGTTTACTGTTCTATTATTTTTTGTTATATATATGGCTTCTAGTAGTTTCCTATTATCTGTTTTTGGTTCTATTGCTAATATTTGTGGGTTTTTGAACTATACTGTGCTGAAGTAAAACAAATCCAATATTTCAATATGTCTGATTTTATATTTCAAGAAAAAAAAACAAGAGCCTGAATAGCTTCCTCAAAAATTCTATCGGTTGTTTAATTGTATTTATTTCGAGGACTATGATTGTTATTTTGAGAATAAAATATACGCTTCCTCAAAAATTCTATCGGTTGTTTAATTCAATTTATTTCGAGGACTATGATTTTTATTTTAAGAATAAAATATACGCTTACTCAAAAATTCTATCGGTTGTTTAATTCCATTTATTTTGAGGGCTATGATTTTTATTTTAAGAATAAAATATACGCTTACTCAAAAATTTTATCGGATGTTTAATTCCATTGATTTCGAGGACTATGATTTAAGCAGCTTCTCAAATATACTCTTGCAAAGGAAAAACGCATCCCCAAAAAGCAAAAAAGTCAATAGAATTTCATAGATTAATATACGGACATGAATCGACCCTCACAATCCACATACACCTATCACATGAATACAACTAGAGTTTAAAAAATTGCTGGCTTGGTTTTACATAAAATTTTACAACAAATGGTAAAATATAACCATGTCTGGTAGAAAAAAAATTTAGAATTATTGTTCATGTAATTACATTTAGTTGACTTCAAGAATCACATAAGCACCATGTAATATAGATAATTAGTTTCTTTCTTTTTTTTTCAAATTAATTATCGATACATATATATATATATATATATATATATATATATATATATATATATATGAAAAAGTAAATAAAATATATATATGAAAAGAACCCAAAAAAAAATATTGAATCCTAGTACACCCATGTGTGAAGCAGTTTTGAAGTATAGTCTTGTCAAGGAAAAACCCATACTCTGCGAAAGAACTAAACAACAGTTGATGTATTGAATTATTTAGGTATCAATCCTTTTTTGAAAATTTGATCATTGGATTAAGGTGGCAGGTGTTATGCTATCACAAAAAAACAACCAGATTCTTCAGACGATCACTTGTGTTAGTTTTTATTTTTAACTTCAAACGAAGAACCCACTTGGACAAACGTCTAACTTGGAATCCTCATACCAGACTGAAATGACAAGAACCCGCTCGACGCTTCCGACTACTCCAACACTTACTAGACAAACTCTCTAAGCTTCCAGTTAATTACAAAAGACTCATATACATGATTACAATAAGACCTATTTAGACTAACGGAGTTGAGCATTGGGGCTCCACTAAGCCATCGAATTCCTCTCGTATCTAATCCTTACAATCCAAATTCTTCGGAAAATCCTCATTCTTCTTACTTTGTCACCAATAAAATAATCCATAACGACCTTAATTTTCTTCATATTTCCGATATGGCCCAATCCTTCCAAAGATACCAATCCTTCCATAATAAACTTCAGAACCATCGGAATCCTCTCGTCTCTAACCTTGCTTCCTCTTCTATAACTCTCCGAGGTATCTGAAAAGATGGTCTATAGATCTCCTATTGTAAATACATTTTGTTTTATAGAGTGCTACCAGTGGGTAGTTTCTCAACAAGTGATTTCATGTTATTATTTTCTGTTATCAAATGTATTTTATTTATTAATACAGTTGTAAACATCATGAATAAAAAAAAAAAGAACAAACCAACCAAATATTTAATGAAAGTGTGAATTATAAATATAAATCCTTGTGCAAATTTTAATATTTTTTAATGCTTTACATAAAAATGAATAAGCTCTTGATGATATATTTATTTTTATAAATACGTAAATTAGTCGTTCTTGCTCATACTTCCTTGTAATGGAGGAGGTCATTCATAAATATAAGCTAGAGTCTAGAAGATATATTTCTACAAAACCATAATTTAAGTGGCCATCTCTAATCTCGACCACTTTTTGCAAGAAGCTAATCAAGAAACTGGACGTACCATCTTCTAAACAAGGTCTATCTTTAGGTTTCTCTGATTTATTTTCCGACTACAGTAATGTTTCACGTTGATTTGTTTTAGTAAAAAAAAAAAAAACGAATTGTTTACAAAATCTAGTTGATAAATACATTGAAATTCTACTTCCGATGTATTTATGTATTCGTGTATTCAAACTATGTATGTATGAACAATAGAAAAAATAATATTCCGAAAGATGGAATAGAATCCGTAAACGTGGAATATGAAAGAGGTATATATATAAGTAATAAAAGTTTACTCCAGGAGGAATATTTAAATTTTTCGTATACCTTCAAGAGAAAATATATATACATTATTCAATAATAAAAAAATAGAACTATTCACTTTATAACATCAGCCCCAATCTCTTGAAGAATACTCGTATACCATTTAATAAACAATACTGTTAACAATAATTCCAAACATTAATCGTTTACTTTTTATTAATCTTTAATTGAAAACTATCTGGACACTTGTGCTGCTTAATTTGATACTAAAAAATTATATAGGAGTCAAATTTTTTTTTTCAAGGAATCTTTTTATGTGTGGTTTTATTAATTTAAATACATTTTGGTACTCATCATATATTACTTTTCCTAGGGTAATGGCGTTTGTGCAGAAATGTATTTCCCGACTGAACGAGCCAGAAAAATTGGAACAGCTTCTCAGAGAATTGGGAAAAAAACATCACAGTTACAAAGCGAAGGCGAGATATGTTGACGTAAGTGAGATTCAATCATAATACTAGAAATATATTTGTCTTGTTTTTCGCTAACTTTCTAATTTCAATGTATGTTATGGATATGAATACTTCAATTGATACTTGTAACTGATACCGATAAGTAGTAGGGCTTCTGAAATGTAACGACTTTAATGTATCAAGTACTTTTAGACATAACTTGGGACCGGTTAGCGGGAACCAAGACATTGATCTTGGCATCAGTCATTTTTACACGTCATTTCTTGTTCCTCCTAAAAATATTTTAGCTCGACTGGGTCTTCCTCTCAAGTTCTTTTTCGTTTTATTTCACTTGTTTTGTTTAAAATATGATAAATGGAAAAATGACATAAATTTAAAGAATTTTGTTAATTTTCGTATATATAATGAGTCCAAATATTTTCCAAAATTGTTTCCAAAATTTAGTAGTCTAGGCAATGTAGGGAAAAAAGGAGGATGTTTTGTTGTCATAAATTTTCGATTACCCCAGAAAGTATACTCTCAACCTTTTTTTTTTTTTTTTTTTTTTTCACCAACATCTCTAAAACTATTGGGGGTTTTTCGAGAAAGCTTTCACACAAAAAATAAAATATTGTCTATATTTTATGTTTTTAAAGATTTTTTTTTCTTTTATTACTTGTTTAACCGCTAGAGCCTGCTGCAAAAAAAAAGCCAAATTCCCAAAAGTGGCAAAAAAGTTGTAAACGTCATATTTTCAGGAAATTTACCATTATTAGCATTTTTTTTTTTTTTTTTTGCCTCACATAACTTCCATAATATTCCGCAGAAATACAGTATATTCTTTTTAGGAATATCGAAACAATAAATTGTGAAATGGCTGGAAGAGAGCCCCATTAAATTTATCCTGTGCAACTCTTAGTTTAATTTTTTCGTTTCTTTACTTATATTAGTGAAAATATGCGTTCTCTATATAATAATGTCAAATGTGAAATTAATGCAGACAAAATTTGCAATAGAAATGATTATATTAGTTTTTTCGCTACATTCTAAATCCATTCTCGTAATTCATTAATTTCGAGACGAAAAAATTTACATCGAATTTTTACCATTATTTGACTCACCAACTCTTTATCTTCTTCATCTTACGAAAAATTCATGCGGAAGAAAGTTGTTTAATATTAAATTTTCTTTAAGAATATGTATTGCGTTACTACTTTATCTTCAACCAGTCAAACACTTTAAGAAATATTTGCACTTTACTGAATTCATTCAAATCTTAAAAAAAAATTAATAAAAGTATTCTTATATTTTTTTGTACATTTTATTATAAAAAAATATTACAAGTTTGTTTTCGTGGTTTAAAGAATGTTCTCTTTATGTTGTGTGCTTTAGCATATCTCTGGATGGTTTAAGATGCTCTCCAAGATAAAAAAAAAAAAGTAATCTTCCGTAAAGGCTCATATCCATACGTTACCAGGTCCAAGTCATACATTTTATATAAGCCCGATTGTTTTCCACTTTCGTTACTTGCCCAAGCAAATACCTACTCTCCTTCGTAAACAACCCTTACAATCCCTCCGATAAAGAGAGAAAAGAAGATGCGGAGGGAGTAAAAGTATTCCTTAAAACATCCCTAAAACACGCAGAACCGAACCTATTATTACCTATACTTATTTAAAATTAAAAAAATGGGTTATGATCCAGATTGAAGTGTCATTTTACTATCCTGGTGATCAAAATTGAAATACAAAAGTCTTGGAAAATATACTTGATAAATTGATGTAAGCAATAAATTACGTATTTCAAGTACAACAGCGGAACACTATAACACCTCTTATGAATTGAACAGTAATTCAAAAGTACTACATTTACTTACAAAGTATATAGTTCAACAGATACGTTATGAATCTAGAAAATAAATTGAAATAAGACCCTGAAACCATTGCAATTAAATACTGTTAACATTTATAACAAACTATTGTAAATGATGACTAGTGATCCAAAAACTTAAATAAACATTTTTCAAGTTGATGAAATTTATGATACAAACTCATTCGAAATCCTAATATGTACTCTCAGAATATGTTTAATACTGTTGCTTGCTGAAACTTGTAATGGAAGGAGGGAAGAAAAGACTGTCAAGTATTTATTCTATTTCATCAACCACAGAATACACCACTTTTTTATCTACCACCTATTCTTTAGTTTTCCCAGTCTGCTTTAAGATGTTTAACCTTTTCAAATTTAGAAGCCACTTGGCCCTAGTTGGAAAAGCTCTTTAATTAATTGCTTTGCCTGACAGCACTCTCTTATCATTTCTTGAATTCTCTTCTCCAAGTATAATCCTGAACGTCTTTTGGAAATGTTTGGTGAAAGCTCCAACTTCACAAGAGAAGTCATCGCTTGTTTAAAAGAAAAAATATAATCTTTCCACCACCTGTTCATCAAATCACTTTGTTTGGACTAATTTAGTGTGAAACTATATCATCAAATCCATGGTTTTTTTTCTCTATCTCTTTCAGTATATAAATGGTAAAACACAAAGTCGAGGAAATTGTAAACTAAGCATACGGAAGCAAGGCATAAAAAGAACACTTTTATAAAACTCATAACAGGCAATATAAATGCTTTATTACTTCAAAAACTGTAAAATAATTTTATGTGGATACGTTATTGCAACCCTAAATGCCAAGCCATTAAAGTTGATATAGTACCTAAAGAGTTGTTAGGAATATTTCTAATAATATAAACAATGATAAAATACGAATTATGTGCTTATAATGTTTGGCTTATGAACTTGAATTAAAATGAGTAAAAAATGTTCAATATTAAGCATCATGGACCAATAATCTTGTGTAATTCATTTTAAACTTCCAGTTGATGGGGAACAAAGCTTCAAAGATTTACTTTATCTTTCTGAATGAACATTCTTGGCTTTTTATTTTTAATTTGAATTGAATTAATAGAAATTATAAATTAAATAATTATCAAAATAAGTATTTATTTTTTTAATTCTAGTAATGACCCTCTCATCAAATAAAAACATTTTTACCAAACCACCCTATAAAAAGAAATTGTTTTTATTTTATTTTTATTCAGTATTTTATTTTAATATCCTCCTTACTGGCTTTATTTATTTTTCTTTTCTTCTTAATATAGATATATTTTAATTATGAATATCGTGTATGATAACTCAAAGGTTCAGATGACAGGATTATTTTTTGATTTTCTATTATTTGAAACAAAGTGTATTGATTATTTGAGGCTTTCAATTGATTGAATGAGTAATGCCAATTTTACCATTTTTTATTATTAATTTTAGTGATATTTCTCGTGAGAAAATATAGAGCTTTATTAACAGTTCCGTATTTAACACTTCAATTGCCTACTCTGAAATCAACTTACTCACTGTCTGTACATATATTATAAATTTTCCAACTAGAAATATCTCTAAATGACATAACTCAAAAATATTGAAATTGGAGTTAGTCATTTTGTCAACTGAACGGCACATTTAGTGGTCATATATTTTTTAAATAATCAGTTTAATAGGTTAATAGATTCTAGGCTAAATTTCGAGCATAAGCAATTAGAGATCTAACTAATATTAATTTTAAATATGGTCTTAAAGATTCTAAACGCTTGTATATTTTTATATAATTTTTTTTTTTTAGCTTGTTGGACCTCAGTTCATTCAGGCAATCCAGCCGTCACTTGGGGAAGAATGGACTGAAGAAGTGTCTGCAGCATGGGTGCTCCTCTTTGCCCATATCGGCTACACCATGAAAGGAGCCATGAATGAGGCAGCTGATGAAGCCAAGATGAAACAATAGCAGTCGCAGCGCCGGGCGTCCACCTCCAAGCGTCGTTGGAGTCTCGCCCGGTCGCAAAAATAATTCTATTTACATGACCAACAATTGAAATGACATTGAAGAACAGTCAACTTAAAATACTAACAAAAAGCAAGAGATAGATTTTAGACAGTTCAGATGTCTTAGGTATGATTATTTTTATTACTAAATGACAACAAGTTTATGTTTACAATCATACATAAAATTACCTACATATATATTCAACATGTACCTACATAAACATAGGTATATATACCATAGATGCAATTGCGTAATTCCTTCATGGATTCATGTTCCAGTTATATATTTGTATTTACATTGATATGATTAATATATTATGTGTGATTATACAATTACATGTCTTTATTAGACTTCAAATCACCAACAATATTGATGCCATACTAATTATTTAATTATAAAATTGTTAGTGCCATTCTAACATGTTTATACTCATATTTAAATATACTGAACTTAGCAGTGTCTGCTTTCTAGCCTTCAGTTAAAAATAAAACTGAGTTGGTCCATGAATTTAATATATATACATGTTTACATAAACCATTAAGGCGTTCTCAAATTTTTTATATATATATATATATATATATATAATATATATATATATAATATATATATATATTATGCAAACCTGCAAGAAATCCAAAATTCTATCAAAAATCTAAAATAATATAATACCTTTAACCCATTCAAACACTTCTCGTTTCAGATCATAAAATAGTAATTTATAATGATTTATCATAAAATCTGGGAATGGGGTAGCTCAGTGGGTGAGCACTGACTTCCAGAACTTCATTGTCACCAGGTTCGAATCTGGCTGATCACTAGTAATTTTTCATCAGCCGTGGGTCGATCCTGGGGCTGGGAGAACCCTCCTGGGGCAAACCTAGCCTCTTTAATGTGGGTATTTTTTTTTATTTTTTTTTTTCGGGCCTCCCCTTCCTCACCTTTAAGGCTATACGGGGTTTTCCAGGCCAGGGAGTGTGGATGGGGATTTAAAAGACGCCTCCGATACCACGCGAACTCGTGGCTATAACTCTTTAATGTGGGTACTCTTAATTAAATAATTAATTAAGGGAGAAACCTGGCAGTTGAGTCTGATATTGGCCTGTCACATCCCTGCACAACCGTTAGCCTCATGAGTTTTTTTTTTAGGTTTAAAATCTATTTGGGTACAAAAAAAATATATTGCCAATGAAAGGAAAGTGGATTCATAAAATTTCTTGTATCTTACTTTGATTCAGATTGTTAAATGATTAAACATGATTTTTCTTCAGCTTGAAAGGCATATGTTAAACCAGACCAATTGGTCTTAAAATCCCAACAAACTGCAAAATAATTGGTTCTCAGCTTGGAAATTGGTTCACAATACCAATTTATCACTATCGACCATTATTGTTTCTAATAAAGAAATCATTAAAATTCTTTATTGACACAGCTATTTTACTTATATTCGAAATATATAGTAAGGGAAAGTATTGTGATCGGGAACATTTTTATATTAAGTGGTAATCTATAGTTTTCCACTATCAGAATCCGAAAAGTAAATTTTCCAAAATTAAAGGAATACATCTTACATATCCACTCACTTGTTCACAGCCCTGCCATAACTAATTTTTTTTATCTATAACAACTGTAAACTTATTTTTAGATGCACAGTTCTCCTGATTTGAACTTTAAACAGCTTATTATGAAGCTGTTTCCTTTTTATCTGATCAGACATGGCTAAAATGTCAACAGCCTGTTTGATTCTTTTTTTATCATGAATAAGACTTTGCCCAGAGATGTTTGGGCTCAAGGAGAACAAATGTTGAGTCTCTCCTAGAAAGAATGTCTGGGCTCTAGAACAAATTATGTCTCCTCTGATAAGAATTTCAATCTTATCATAACTTTTGATACCTGAACCTGAATAAGTGTCATTCAACTAGAGGCTCTTAAGATTTCATCCGAGCATAGTCTTTTCAATGATGGACTATTGCATGTATTAATTATAATGTAAATAAAAAGGGACTGTTATAATAGACCTAAGTGTTTTCTATGTTAGTTTATAATAGTGATATATTGGACTTTTTATTACAAAATTATGTGCACATTTATCATGTAAAGCACTGATTGTAAATACTGGTGTAATAAATGTTATAAAAGATGTATTAAAATATAATTGTGATTTCTTTAATTTTAAATTTGACATATATTGTTGATCTAGATTGAGAGGGAATGTTCTTGTAAGATTTTATGACAAATTATACATGTATGTTTTAGGATATGTTTTGTTTATTGTTATTATAGGGGCTTGGTTATATGCTTCTAATTGTGACTGCATGGAGTTTTATTTTTACAGTGAAATATTTATAAATATTTCATTTTATAACAACTTAGGTATTGTAAAAACAAATATTCTTACAAAAGTATTACTCTTAATGGAGAAAACTTCTTTTGGAATAGGAAAGGGAAAAAAAAAGGATAACATTTTTTAAAGAATTAGAAGTATTACACATTATTACTTACATAAATCAAAATCATAACTGTAAAAATTATCGTAATTATAATCATAACAATGTTCACACTTTTTCAGGAGTTATTTTAATAAAAAGAGTTATTAAATACTGTTAAGAAAAGTAAATGAAAATTTATAAAGTTTTCTAGATTGCTTTAAAAATTTATAAGCGGGTGAATAAACAATAAATTGGCTTTATCATCAATAACTTCACTTATGTAGATTGAAGCTGAAAATCACAAGAGAATTAAGTATATGACAGCAATGCTATAGAACAAAGTATTTTTTATAGGGAATATAATACAAATCCATATGAGGACAAGGAGGTTGTTTGCTACCTACTTTTGCCTAAACCATATAAATACTTCTTTATTGAAAAAATGTGAAAATGACAGCAATTAAAGAATAGTTATTCATAATTTCACAATTTGGTCAATAAGGAAGTATAAGCTCTTGAATATATAGACAGCAAAAAACCTTATCATTGGAAAAATATTAAATTAATTTTACTTCTAACCCAATATATTACAAGAAATATTGATTGAAATAATCACATTTTAAACTAAAAAAAAATTGTTGAGCAGTTGTTTATCCAGCTTAAGGTATACAATTTTTTTTTCTCTCTTTTAGATAAATTTAAATAATCAAGTGTAAAAAAAATTGATTTTATCAATTCAACAATTTTAGTTTGCTGCACGGGCGGATCTACGGAGAGGGCTTTCGGGCTGAAGCCCCCTCCCAAAATGGTAAAATATAACCACGTTTTATCGAAAAAAAATATAAAAAAAGTATCTCTTAAAGTATTATTTTTCGTGTGATTAATATTAAAAGGGCTTTAGGAATCACTTAAACACCATTTCATACAGGTTGTTAGTTTCTTTCTTTTTTTCTAAAGCAATTATCGTTATTTTTATGAAAAAAAAGCTTTCGGGCTGAAGCCCCCCCCAAAATTAAATCCTGGATCCGCTAGTGGTTTGCTGACATTATTTTGTAATTTACCCATGCAGTTGCATTTAGACAAAATACCATAAGCTCTTAATGCTACTGGTAATGCTTTAACAGAACATAGTCGTAGTTTTAGAAGTTAGGCCTCGCTATTCAATACTAATGTATAGTCGCTAGGCCTGACAACTATGTAACATAAATATATATACATATATTATATTCTAAAAAAAAATATAAATATTACTGTAAAATATAAATATTGATGTTTAAGATGTAAAAGAGTAAATGTTTAATTAAAGAACACCTCATTTGTTTAAAAACCTGAACCAGAATCTCAGTTATAAAAAATGATTTTAAACTATTTCAACCTTTTTCATTGAGTTGCAATTCTTAGTAAATGTACATGTAATGAACCCAATTTATTGGCATTGAAAGAAATTTTACAAAAAGTTAATTTAGGTGGGATTAACAGATTTGAGAACAGGAAGAATTAATGGTTATTAAGGCAGTATAAGATGTAACCTGGAGATGTTTCAAAATAATTTTTTTTTTTAAATTAAAATATCTAAATCACCAGATTTTCTAAAAATTGAAACTGTCAATAAAATTATCCCAAATATCTCAACCAATAAATATCATTATTTCAATAAATAAAAATATTATACAGCAGACTAATTAACACTTAGACAACCATACCTTTTATTATTGATTATTTTAAATGATAATTCAACTAACTATTATAAATTTACAGTTTAAATCTTGCGTATGAAAAATGGGAGATTAGAGGTAATAATATTATTTAAAAAAGATTGTTTAATAGAGCATATTAATTTTATTTTATTTTTAAAAGTATACAAAATTAAAAAAATATTAAATATTTTAGAGAATAAAAATTCTTATAAATAAATATTTGTACTTTAAAATACTTCATGGTTTATTTTCAACAATGTTGTCTTTAATAAATAAAAATATAATCTAAATACATAATTATTTGGTTATACAAGTCCAAAGTGCACCACTTTTATTTTTCCGCTATCAACTTCCTCCAGGCTTTCTGAAACATTAAAAGTACAAAATTAAGTTCAGTTTTAACCATAATTTAAAAATATCAAGAAATGAAAAAAAATATGCTCACTGTTTGTTTTGGTAGATAAACACAAAGTTTTAATATCAGGCAGTGAACTGGTAGAAGCCTGGGTAAAAGCCAAGTTAGGTTTGTAGGAGGTCTTGTGATATCCCAAATCAGGTAAACCTACCATATTTGGATCGATGGTTTGCTCTCTTGGCAATAAATTAATTTCCTCCTAAATTAAAAATAACTATTTACTGCCGCAATTTAATCTTACAATCTCAATGAAAAACATTAACAAATAATAATAACCTGATGTAACGGAATGTGAGTAACTTTCCTCGAGAACTTCACTTTCTGCCTGCTCTGATGAAGAACGGGTAACGGTGGTGGTGTTATTCTTTGAGAAGTTATGCTTTCACTAGAGCAGCATGAACAGCTATCTGAACAATCACAGCTGGAACCTACCAATATATATATTGTAAGGTTAAACAACTTATACATAATGGCATATTTCCTAACATGACCCTGAAGACTCTCCAACCTAATAATTTTTTTTATCAAAAAATAATTTTGAAATTAATTAAAGAAATACAATTTGGAGATTTTTCTATTAGAATAAATTAGTTTAGAAATTCATAACAACTTGAAAAATCTTTCCTAGAAGATAGCTAAGAGAATTAAATTGCATTACTATTTTTAAATATCTTTAACATTTTTTTTTTTAAATAATCAATAAATAATATTTTTAACAGTAAAAAGAGTGATTGATTTGCAAAAATGTAAGATTGCAAAATCTTTAGTAGCAAATATTCATAAAATGGAAATATAGTGCGTACTAAATAATGGGAACACACTCATTTAATATTAAAAAATGTTAAATATAATAACAAAAGCACCTGAAGATTCAGAACTTGAACAAAATACTTGCTCAGCTCTCTCCAATGCTGCTAGAGCGAGTTCAGAATTTCCGATAATTTTTCCATAATTATGTAAATCCATAAATAAATCATAATCTTCTAAATCAATAGCCAAGCTGAAAGCTTTGTCACATATCTGATATCTGAAACAAACA